CAGTACCAGCACCCGGATATGTACCAGCAGTACCAGCACCCGGATATATACCAGGACCCGGATATATGCCAGGACCACCAGGACCCGGATATATGCCAGGACCACCAGGACCCGGATATATGCCAGGACCACCAGGACCCGGATATTATCCAAACAGACCACCACCACCAGGACATTCATACGGATCCACCAGAATTAGGGTTAGAATCCGCATACACGTCCCTTTTTCTAATACCGGTGGTTTAATTACGACGTTTGTAGAAAAGTTACGCCCATTCAGGCGGTACACGGTTATTAATTCCGCCGGCTAACCGCGTACGGTGAAGGAGTCCACAAGCATCGATATTTTGCCTTTCCAGCTCAGTGTTGTAGTTTAAACCTCTTCGAAAGCCATCCGAGTGGTATCGATATATTGTCATTCCAACTCTACAAATCACTGCTTCTACTAATTATTTGTCACACTTTTGACCATCTTACCTTTATATTATTTGAGAACATCAGCCCAGTGTACTGGATTTTCTGTCTTTCTAACTGTCAAAATTACTGTTTCCATTAATTGCCAAATACCTATTTGACGGTATTACCGTTAATAACATAGTTTGTCGTATTGTTGTTTGTTAATTTCAACTCGTTCCACCTCAGTGTGTTAATATCAGACACGAAGTTCTTCAGTTCGTGGTTCTTTCGGATGCTCCAGCTACCATATTCATTAAGAGCAACATTTGCAATGTAAATAAAGAATATATTGTATTAAAAAAAGGACTTCTCTGTACAATGATTTGGCGCACAATCAAGATTGTATAGAAAAGCATTTTTTTATTGCAATTGTAGAAAGATATTACACGGACGAATTGAATAAGCTCGAAGCTCAATTGTGTTGTGTTTACAAGGTTAGTTTTAAAATACTTTAACAACCTCGCAGTACTATATTACTAACAAGGAGCCACCTGGAACGCAATGCAGTAATCTGGTCGCCTCATTAAGCGAAGTACAAAATTATGTTAGAGCGATTCAAAATAAATTTACACGACATTTATATGCAAGAATATAATGGTGTTTACCCCTTTTATCCACTCGTGTATCCAAGTTTGTTTGTACTCGGCATGGTTGGTTATAATAGACTAGAAGTACGTCGAAACTTCGCATTAGCTTAAATTATTTTTAAACTACTAAGAGGGTCAATTTTTAACCATAGTGTGACGGTGTGATCTCCGTACATCGTCTTCCCACCATTTTATCGCCTTTCTCCGGTTCCTGTTCCACTCGTATTTAAATTAATATCCGATCGCGGCAGCGAACACGTCTTCTCTTCTTATTTTTTAACCGACTTCAAAAAAGGAGGAGGTTCTCAATTCGTCTGTATGTTCTTTTTTTTGTATGTATGTTACGCGATAACTCCGGTGTTTGTGAACCGATTTTCATGATTCTTTTTTTGTTGGAAATAGGGTACTTCCATAGGGGTCCAATTTCATTTTGAAGAAAAGCATCCACCTCGAAGGGTGGCTGTTCACCCATGAAGATTCATTTTTATAAATAGCGCCTAACTTTAATTTAGGAGCAATTACTTTAATGGTTGATTTTGCTATTTCTCCAATTCATCGCGTTTTTCTCTCGATATACTTTGAGTAGTGAGAACCGATTTTTATTATCTCCAGTGTCAAGTCCTGTATAGTGACGAACTAGGTGATATTTCAATAAAACTTAGCAAATAGACGTAATTCCACGTACTTTTGAGGTCGGTTTTTTTAGTACTCTGTACTGAGATAATCTTTTTACCAGTTACTAAAAATCTCTTGTGCGATAAACATTTTAAAGATCATAAATATTGTTAAAACCGGAATAAATACTTATATAACTGGTTTTATTACCACTAGTTCTTTACCCTTTTGAATTTTGAACTTTAAACGTGTGGAGGCAGTCGAGACTGCTACACTCTGCTGGTTACATTACAATCCTGCTGAACAGTCTACAGAACTCCACCAGCACCAGTAGCGCTCTTTCAATAGTATACTAGAAAGGGTGTCTTTATGCGTGCCGAATGATCACGCAAGGAGGCGACGAAAACCGTGGTTGTTGGCAGTGCCACGCAGCCTGATTAATATCAGGCTGCTGGCTCACCAGAAGGCCCCGCTCACAAGAGCTTTGTGATGTTGCAGACAGAACGGACTTATTTTCATGTACTCTGCTTGAATTCACAAGGATAACACGTAAAGTAAAAAAACAAGGAGTAGTCATTGACTTACAAATAAATGGACGACGGGTCTAATACAAACACCACGAAAAAAATGTCCCAAGTCAACCTATTTAAACGTACTGACATGTAAAGGAATATGAAAAAGTTAAAACGTTGAATTTAAATCGTAATGTCATCGCAGTACTGTCTAATTTTGCTTGCTTCGCTGTCAGTCGAACAAACGAAGACTAAAGCGTGAATGACGCTCTGTATACGATTTTAACGCCCTATAAGTTCGGACACTTTTTAGCGCGGACCCGACGTCCATATAATTGTAAGTCAATGGGAGTAGTTCATTATTTTTTTTATTTTTTTTATTATGGATTTAATGTAAGACATCTAGATATGAATTTTCACATTACCGCATTGGTTATAACTGTATTGGTAGATGTAAAGTTTTAAATAATAAATTAAACATCACTTTGTTCTATGAATTTTCACAAAATATAATACATTCATCACGTTATTCTTGCACTGTCTGACAGTTTTTAAATCTGTGTTTGGTAGGAAGTAACAGTATGTTGAAGGGTCCTCCCGGGGCGTGTCGATTCATAAAATTTATTTATGAATCGGCACGCAATTATAGATGGCGGGTTGTATTTCGCTACGACTTCCAACGTGTCAATTGGAATGAAAATTATTTGTCAATACGAATTTTTTAAATACGGAATTATCTTTTACAGTCATTGACTTACAAATAAATGGACGACGGGTCTAATACAAAAACCACGAAAAAAATGTCCCAAGTCAACCTATTCGAAATTTAAATTGTAATGTCATCGCAGTATCGCGCTGTCAGTCGAACAAATGAAGACTAAAGCGGAGTTTGGCGCTCTGTATACGATTTTAGCGCCTTACAAGTGCGGACACTTTTTAGCGCGGACCCGACGTCCATATAATTGTAAGTCAATGTTTCGATTCGAATAGATTCGTGTTCGAAATGATAGAGACGTGTGTAGGGTAAAATGTTTTGATGCATTGTTAGTCTTCCAGGTAGCAGTCGTTTTACTACCGACTGTGGGAAGTAATATGTTGTTTTATATGTCGACTATTAAGCAACACTCGTCCACGCGCATTTTGTTCGTTTACTGACATTGTTGGCGGTAGACAAGATTTCTTTCTTGTCCGGCGTCGAGGTATTGTACACAGTTCATGTGTAGAAACGACACGAATTCTTGCATAGACCCGGCGATTTTTCTTAGCGTGGACACGCACACTGAGGGTCGGAACACATCGCATCGCAAACATCTACAAGCTCGCACGACTCATCGCAAAAACTTGCGAATTGCTCCGCGCCGCGCTTTCCTGCAATGTTAATCGTCGTTGTGTTTGTTTCCTATACTTTTGTCACGGTGTGACCTCCTTACACCGTCGTCTCACCTTTTTGTATCGCCTCTCTCCACTTGTATCCTATCATTTTTATTTTACTTGCATTTAAATTTGAATTGTTCCATCTTCCTTCGCTTTCTCATTTTGTTTTCGTACTCGACCGCCACAACAGTCGGAGCTGTTTCAAATTCCATCATATATAATCGCTAATTTTGATTCGTTACTACGTTTATAATCGTCATTAAATAAGCTAAATCATGTGTAATAATCTATAACAGTCTACAGCCTTCATGTACCTATATCTGTAATTCAGTTACTCGGCCCATTTAGGGCCCTTTCGTTTTATTTTACTTCTTTTAATATATTTTGTGGACCGAAAGTTTCCCGTTTCATTGCCTTGAACCTGGTCACAGCTAGTTAGGGTTACAACCCTTTCACTTTCTTGTCAATAACAGTAGTGCAATACTCTTTTTACGATCCATGTCGCTACCTATACTCTAGCCAAATTCGAAGTAAAATAAATGTCAACAAACAAAACCATATGATTTTTAGGGTTTTCATCTCAGATTCTTTCACAGTTCCCCCAATTCAATTAGATTATGGATAATGCTAAATCTTGAAGTCTTGTTTATAATGAATATTATTCAACAAATGTTTCAAATCACCTGAAAATGATATAAAAATGACCAGTAATTAATTATTTGCAAAACTGTGTCATCCCTAGTGACTTTTTGATTTAAAGGGAGTGATCGTAAACATTCGAGTTCTGGTGGTAATTCAAGTTCAGTATCGGAAATAGATGCTGGATGATACAATATGTAGTAAATTAATATCAAATATAGTAATTAGTATCAAGTATTTTGTAAACTTTATAATAATTGACCAGGTAAGTATTCTACTTAACCCAATTACCTACTTACCTGTTTAAATTCCAATTACGAGAGGTGGGCGTGGGCAGAGCAAGCCTTAATAATGAGCATTGAAAAAAAATGTTCTTTTCCTATGCATCTTTGGTTGCCTTGTTATTAAACATTCTACATCGATTTGGCTAGAGTATACTTTAACAAAAACATTCGGTACGTTCGACGATTGTCGAAGATTCTTTCGAGATGCCTTGCCACTTAAAATCGCGTCGCAACAATTCGCGTTTTCTTCTTGAACGTAACCAAAAGTTTTATATGTCTTTAGCTTCATATGGATATGTGTTTTGCAGGTTCGCGGCGGACCACGAAGCCATGGTATCTCGCCGGGTGCAGCCGCTGGCATCGGTGCTGCCGGCCTCGCCGCTGGTGGCCTTGCTGGTCTCGCCGGAGGCACGATGTTAGGCCGACATTGGCACGATGAACTTGTATGTTGATATTGAGATTATACCAATATGTCGTTAACCGCTTCTGAAGCAGAGGCCATATGGATTTGGACAAGCTCGCATCTCTGAGTTTTTTGGAATTTATGTGCGAAAGTTAATTTAAAAAAGGTAACTTCGTAAATGGAAAATTTAACCAGGCTGTCTTGTCCTGTCCAGGGAAACCGCCAAAGCGATTGACTAAATCCAAGGCGAGGACGTAGAACGTACTTAGAGTAATGGTTTTTCAAGTATTTGTTGATTATAGGAAGCCGTGAAATACATTCCCGGACACAGTTCGAACCACCTTGCTTTTTTATCCTAATCAAATTTTATATAAAAATATAGTTTTTAGTTTTTTTGGAAGAAAAAGTTTTCTCCGATATTTTAAATTCAAACTTTCAATAGGGACTTATGGAAATTATGTTTAGTATGCTAGTTTCAAAGCTGCATAATAGTTCTTGATCAATCAAGCATTGTTTAAGCTAAGCATTTAATATTGAAAAAGCAGGGGAGTCGAATTATGTGTCCGGGAGTATATATAATATAGTAAAATAATACCAGAATAAGATAATTAATTCCTTTATTTAATACGTGTTTCAAAAAAAAGATGCTCCGGAAACCTAAAAAACAAACAACCATTATAGAATATTTTTATAACATCTTCCAAGGTCTTAAGAATGATCATGCCTTTGTTTCCTAAATCAGACCAGAATCGAGAACTGGTGAAACAAGTGAACATCACTAATCGTAAAAACTTGACCAAAAACACGAAACGGCCGTTTCACAACACTGCATTCAGCATTCATAGCCTACCAAGGAAAGATCACAAGTGTACCGCACCAAGTAAAAGCCGCAATGTATTACGAACATGCGGCATACACTCGTTTACATATTTGTTTTAATAAATTTTGCTTATTCTGATTACAAAATTACATAGATGTGGAAGGAAACGTCTCTGTTTGTTTATCTTCTCACAGCTGTGGCGTTTTTGCGGTTTCTGATGGCACAATTAGGCATGTTTCGCGTTCTAGACTGATGCCGAGGCAACTAATGCCGAATTTACATTGGGTACGAAACGTACTTCATGCATTTCCAAATTGATTTCACGAAACTAATTTCAATACACACACATGTACATTTTTTGCAACGCACAAAATGTTGTTACACACATGTTACTGTATAAAATAAACAAAAGAATGTCTTGAAAACGACAACGTTGGTGGATGCAAATGGTTATCAAGAAAGCCTGTTGGTGCATCGAAGCTAATATCTGAACTAGAAAATGAAACACTCATAGCTGTAAAAATTGTTTTCGAATGAATAAACAACGTTAATTTTTTTATTAAATAAAGTCTCCCACAAAGATACAACTTGTCGAGAAGCATTATCAGTAAAACTGAAGCTTCAAACTACCCTAGTTTCGCATTGCATTTACACATTGTATGATTTACACAATGAAATTAATTGCATGTCACTAGTTTTACCAAAAATTTTATCAAAAGTTTCGCGCGACCTACGACACTATTTTTTTTTATAACATTAAGAGGGAGCAGAGGAAAAATTCATAATCTTCGATTTGATTTTAGAGGGGTATATCCACTTTAAAGTTAAAAATAAAATATTGTATGAGTAACTACACAATATATTCAAGCATAGACACTAATCAGAAACATAAAACAATAAAGTTTCCTCGATAGATACAAATCACGGAATGACCTCTAATTTTCACATTTTTTCGATTCATCCTCGAAATGCTACAGGTTATTAGGACAAAAATTAGATAATTAATTATATTTATGCATGATCGAGAACTGTCATTACGGAATTTTTTATAATCCCTTTACTTTTAGAGTTATTCCGCTAAAACGAATTTGGTACTTTTAATGCGCAAAATTCAACATCTCCTGTCGCATGTCACGGGAATTTCAGGCATATATTTGTCTCACAAATGTGGGCGGAGCCAACGTCAAAAATTTTTTGGCATGCTCCTTCTTAATGCATGCGTTATAAAATTAGATGCTTACACGTCAAATTATACGCTAAATTAGTGTCATAAAATTAAGTTTCGTAATTTAAATTCGGCTTACGCGTTTATAGCTTACATTCGGCACGCGAAGTAGGTACATTTGCAGCGTTTAGTTACATAATAATGTCGTAGAATTTTATAGAGATGTACTGAATAGACATCCGTTGTTTATCAGCGGTTTTCGTCTTTAACGCGTTTATTGACTAAAAACAAAATGCGAATCAATGTCGCATCGAACACGACTATTTTTATCATACAAAGTGATGGGGCGAACAAGTTGTGCGCCTGGTTGTAAGCGACACGCCTGTCCATTGATCTGAAGGGGTAACCTATCACAAAGTCGAAATTTTTTTGTCCGAAATAACGTTTGTTCGAATTTTCATTACACCGAAAACCGAATTATAACGAAATAGTTGTTCTTTCAGGATGTGTTGAATGTTCATCGCAAAGACACGGTTAGGTTAGGTTGGGTTTTAGTGGCGTAGGCCCTTTAGCCTGGAGGGAGAGTCCCCACATAACGCCTTTTTTTTTGTTGATCCGGGGAGTCTGCTTACAGATACCTCGGCCTCGCGGGGGCAGAGCCGGGGTTATGTGGGACTGGGCTGGACCCTGAAGGGGAGCAGCCCGACCGCACTAAACCCCTGGAGTATTCCTCCTCTGCGCTGCTTTTGGGGTACGGGTACGCTGTTACATTCGTCCGCGCCCCCACCAGCGGCTGGCCGCGCCCTGCGCAGCCCCTCCCCGAGAAGGGACACATCGGTGTCTCCCCTCGCGGAGGACAGAACGAGCGGCAATGACACACCGACACGTCTCTCCCCCCGCGACCCTCCTCCCAACGCGCATCCGCGCGGTCCCGCTGACCAGACGAGCCCTCCTCCTCGGGCCAGCCTATCTCCATCGGCCGGCCCCGTGGGTTCCTCTTAGCTTCACCGCGGGATGAAATCGACCACAGCTACTAGAGCCCCCCCGCCACGACAAGGCGGGAACCCCTTCGGGGGGGCCTCACATTACCCCTGAGTCTCCCTGGGCTCTATCTAGTATCTATAAAGATTTCCCCCCGTCAAAAAAAGAAAAGAAAAAGGTTTAAGTTTGGTTTAAAAGAAAAAAAGATTTTCCTCTCAAAATTACTTTCGAGGTTATGAAATTTCGACCAAACGTTATTTCTGGAAAATGTCATTTCGGACTACTCATAGGTAACCCATCCTGAGACAAGTTGACAAGTTCCATGTGCCTGTAATTTCACCAGCACTCTCAGGCTGCGGATCCATAAAAAATTTACGAGGTAGTTAGGCTCTGCGAGGATATGCAGCGGCGTTGTGAAATGGTGTTCCTCCAAAGCTGTGCGCGGGTGGGGTGCGGTGTAGTGGGGTGAGCGGAGGCTACGGCGATCTCGCTCGCCTACCTTTCACATATTCCTCGCTCGCATGACTCGCATTCCTCGCACACATCTTTTTTTGTATGCACAAATACTTTGCTCCGCTAGTGAAATTAAGTAATCGATAAAAGGTGGATATTTCCACGCACACCGCCTAGCTACCTCGCAAATCTCTGGTGGAAACGCACCCTTAACCTTCAAAACCGGAACGCAGTAATGCTCACATTACCGCTTGGCGGCAGAAATAGGTCAGGTGGCAGTACTTCCCTGGACGAACTATTTCACAAGGTGCTCGACTGCTACTAAAACTTCTTCGGTGGCGCAGTAACCAAATACGTCTTGGCCTTGTGGTTTTGAGCTTTCTATACGACTCTCAAATACGTCTTGACCGTCTGGTTGTGAGCTTTCTCCTTTTCGGGACTTCATCGCTTCAGCGGTACCTAGGTTGTCCATCCGATCCAGTTACTTTAAAATTATGAATAAAAATTTAACAATTAATTTATACCCATTTCAGCCGTCAAGTAAGCGTGTGCTGAAAGTACAAGCACACGGGACTTGTCTCCTTTATGTCTCAGGGCGAAGTGATAGTTCCCCTCAGCTGCTTGATTTCGATGGCCTCTCCCGATCGGAAACTGCGTCTTTTCCGAGTCGAGGCGCATAATTGCGATTCACAACTGGCCGATCGGAAAATTTTGACATTTCTAATCGGAACATAAGTTGATTTAGTTGAGTAGGAATCGGGTTCATCTTCTCGCTCAGAAACCCATTAGATTTCGAGACTGCATGCAGTCGCGATCTCGGCCGTATGAATTTGATTACGACTTCACGCATTCAAACAGCAGTCAATCTGTTCGCAACCTTGTTTATCGTCCAGTCACTCCATGTCATAATTTACAACAAATAACGAAAACATTTTAGAATCAACAAGGCTCACCCGACGAACAGCCCGACGAACACTCCGACGATGACCCCGATCGTATTTTAGACCAAGACGCAAATGTTGTTGAAGAAGATCCTGATCGCCTTTATACTGGTGATGAAGATCAGATCGGGATTGATGATGATGGCCACAACGCTATGGACGACAGTGATGATGGGGGCTATGATGATGGAGGCTATGATGATGGAGGCTATGATGATGGAGGCTATGATGATGGGGGCGATGATGATGGGGGCTTTGAAGATGGGGGCTTTGATGGTGGGAGTGGTGAAGACAACGTGACTTTGTGAATAATTGTTTTAATGCGAAAGAACAATGGCAAACTCCCATATAAATTTTTGTTGACATAATTTATATGCGTCTGTTGAAGAAAAATATGTTAAAATATATAGTGGAAATTCCTGAACAAATTTTGTTCGGGGTTTACTATTCCGAGAAATCTGGAATGAAAGATATTCCAGTTTGAAGTTTTGGAGGTTATGTGTCACGTAATTGAATAAAATATATTCGGTGTATTATTATATCAAAATAATATACAGAAGCCTTAAACAGAGTTTATAGAAGCAAAACGGTGCCGCGGGCTTGTGACGTGTCAATAGTTAAGAGGAAATTATTTTGTATACTGGTATGGTCACATGGTAGTTGTAGGCATGAAGGTAAGCCATAACAAAAGACTGAGTTAATTAATACATACCACAGACTATTGCACTTGTAACTCGGACGCAAATTATTGTTTAGTGAAAAGTGCCATCTATCCCTGTTTTTGGGAACTTTTCTGTCAGTTTTACCATTTTCTCGGGTGGCATTTGGAGAAGGAATTATCTACAATATTTTTGTAATTAAGTAGTTAATCTCTTATTTTATTACAAATCGGCCGAAATTTGACATTACGTGAATTAACTTAATGTGGACCATGTCCATACGGAAGTACTGAAATTTTATTTTTAGCGGCTAGACGTCGTTCAACGTTAAGAAACTAAGAAACTGACAGTTGTAGATATATCAGTCCTGTTACATACTAATTAGTCATTAGAGTTTCTTTTAAATATGATTTTATTTCCAGGCTCAGATAGGCCGCTATTAGAATTTGAAAAATGTAATGAATTTATTTTATTCAAACTTTTAATTACGACATTTGAAGACGCTAGCGAATTCTGTTAACTATGATTTTGCCATTGTTCTTATAAATCTACGGTGGAATTATTTTAGAGAAGTTTTATTTGTTTGTATAATTGTAAATACAAAAAAATATATTATTGAGATTTTTTTGAAATAACTCCACTAGTTTTTATTACGATTATTAATACAAAGTTCAACACACAGAAACACTTTCTTGGCTGCGGTGAAGAACGTTCTAAAATCAATAGATGTCACTATTGGTCCAGAATGCCGTAAAATCCAGTACAAGGATCTTTAACAAAAACAGGAGAATTTCGACAACTCGATAACTTGACCCGTAGCTCAGTTGGTAAGAGTATAGCTACGGTGCAGTATGGTCGTGGGTTCACGTCACGTCGCGTCGGCTTAAAAAAGTTTTTCTATGCGTTCAATATTTTTATTAATAATCATTACAAAAATTATGTTCAGATATGGAATGATGTAAGTAGATTGAAGGGACAACTTATAGAATGTGGATAGATGATAAATGTGGTGAAATCTAGACTTCGTCGTATCTCTGTCAGCTTGAGGATGCCCTTAAACCAGGTCGGATTAAAAGTATCTAGAATAAACGGGCACGTAGGAAGAGACTGATGCATGATGATGAGTTGAGGAGGCGTTGTTTACCACAATGGATAAGTGTGATAAGATAATCTACAGACGTATCACTTAACCGAGTCGGTTCCTGAGGTAACTGCACGGATCGGGGGAAGTGAGTTCACATAAATTTTTGATCTCATGATAATTCCTCTCATCTCTTTAGGTGTCAAAGCTAAACCGCATGTTGTGAACGCATCCGCAACCGGTGACCGCATCTTTGATTTCTTTGGACATCATATTGTACTCCAGTGCAACAGTAACGGATTTTGCATCCGTAGACAGAGATGTGACCCATCGAGAGTAAAAGTAATTACAACTAAATAGGTGTTATATCGATATCGAGTTTTGTTCTAATTGATTCTATGGAAATAATTCGCTCGAAAATCGCATTGCAATTAATCGATATGAAAAATCGAATCGCAATGTGCATCACTTAATAGTGAGACTCCACAGCTTTTTAAGGTGGACATTGTGTGGAGTTGCCTCATTTTCGTAAAAAAAAAATGTAATATCATCATCATTCAGCCATACGACGCCCACTGTTGGGCATAGATCTCTTCCAACACCTCCACGACGATCGGTCCTGCGCTGCCCGTGTCCATCGGCCTCTCGCGACCTCCACCAGATCGTCGGTCCACCTGGTGGGGGGCCTACACACTAAGCGTCGTCCGGTGCGCGGTCGCCATTGAAGAAGCTTTCCGCCCCAACGGCCATCGGTTCTCCTGGCTATGTGCCCCGCCCACTGCCACTTCAGCCGAGCTATATCGGTTACCTTAGTTCTCCTACGGATTTCCTCATTTCTGAGTTTATCACGTAGGGAAATACCGAGTGTTGCTCTCCATTGCCCGCTGAGTAACCTTGAGCCTTCTTACGGGGCCCATAGTGAGGGACGACGTTTCTGATCCATATGTGATCAATGGCAACACACAAAAAGGTATTTTGCATTGAAATTTGTAATGTCGTTTTTCCCTCTACACCTTACTCCAACTTTCCGAGATGTATCCGTGCCGATAGGGGACCACTTGAGCTACTTGGTCTGGACTTATCGTCCAACCTCAACTTTGGGTGATACATCGAGTGCTTGCCAAAAACTGCTGCCGAAAAACTAGGCATACTTTACAAGGTCAGGCGGTACTTCACAACTGAACAGCTTTTAAATCTGTATAAAGCACAAGTTCAATCGTGTATGGAGTACTGCTGCCACCTTTGCCCATTACCAGTTAGCTGCCTTGGACTCGGTGAAAAGCAAAGAGACTTATTAACAACAATTCTCTTGTGGAGCCGGAAGCTACAAAATCTCGATTGTCGCAGAAAAGTAGCCTGCTTGTCGGTTTTCTATCGGATATATTGCGGGGACTGTGCGCAGATACTTTTCAATTTAGTTCTACCCTCACCGTTCCTCTTTCGGTTGACTAGAAGGTCCGGGTCACTACATTCTTATGTCCTTTATATACTTTCTGCTGCGTACGGCAAAGGAATGGAGTTGAGAAACGGCAATTAACAAAAAAAAATTATCAAAATTACTTTCGAGGTTATGAAAATTCGACCAAACGTTATTCTGGAAAATGTCATTTCATACTTCTGATAGGTCCCGGCAGAAACGATGAACACGGAATTTGATGTAATTCTATACATTTTTTTAAATATGTAATAGACATACTCTTGGCCACAATCTTACCTGATGTTAAGCGACGATTTGCCCGACAATGGGACGCGTTTGCCTAAAAATGTCTATTCACTCTAGCCTTGAATCGCCCCAAATTGTACTTTTCGAGAAACATCCAACATATCGTGAAAGAACAACGGCTTCGTTATAATTCGGTTTTCGGGGTAATGAAAATTCGAACAAACGTTGTTTCGGAAAAAATAAATTCGAGTTTGTGATCGGTAAAAACTCGGTTAAAACCCGGACGGGTTGATTGAGTTTCAACCCACTGCCCGTCTCTGTCCATTCGGTACCAGTGTAGTCCCGTTCTCCGTCCGTCATGCGTCCGGAACAAATACTGTCAAATATGTAATACTCCGCGACTTGATTAAAAGACGCATGATGCGAATGAAGCTTTATACTTGACATCGTATTTTAATTTGGTCGAATATTAGTTATTTGACAGTAATTGTTTCAGAGGAATGTCGGTATTAGACTCATCTGCTGAACCGCATAGTCGATGGTCGAAAAATCATTATGAAATGTGTGTGTGTTATGTGATATGCAATGGTCGGAAAATGGTGTTCCATATTTGTATATAGATACATGTATGAGATAAAGCTACAAAAAGCGGCATAGAGTTGTTAAAATCACTGAATATGAATTAATTAATATCAGCAGCAGTAGAGCAGTAATGTCAGCATTACTGTGTTCCGATTTTGAAGGGTAAGGGTGCTGGTGAAATTACAGGCACATGGGACTTGTCGACTTATGTCTCAGGGTGACGGGCGTAGTGGTGGTGCACCTTGGATCTTTGCGATTTAAAGCTCTGAGTGGCACTGTAACTGTTATGGACAGGCGTGTAGCTTACCATCACGCGCGCTACTTGATGTTATAAAAAAAAATAGAAAATAAAAAAATACTTTTTTGGAATTCCGGATTTCTGTTTCGACTTGTTTAAGCGATCACCAGTATTTTTAATAAAAAGTATTGAAATAATCTAATGTGAAAATTTTCGTTTTAAAATACGACATTTCTGCTAGTGGTTCGAATTTATGAACATCTGTTCGCTGTTTTTGTGTTTTTGAATTTAAATAAAATATTTTTAGGGCGCAATCACGTTTGTAAATGTCCTAAAATTCCACTCGTAAATAAAGTTTTAAACTTAGAATAATAACGCATAGAAACCTAGTCCGCACACTCTAAGTGAGGCAAATTGAAGCGCGCCCAAAGGGCCTACACGAGCGGGCGGGCCTTTAGTGCTCAAGGTCAACTTGCACCGCGAACAGATCAAGAATTTTAGCTAAAAATGACGAAATGTGCGGTAAATGAGTGTAAAAATACGTAAGACAAACATAAAATAGATACTAACATCACATTCCACAAGGCAGTAACGCGTTTCAACTTGTATTTTTATATAAATATTCACTAAAACCGAAAATTGACCTACTACTAAAACTAGCCTACATGAATTTGATTTTTGCCTCACTTGTGACAGTTCGTTTGATATGAAACTATCATTCTATGCGTTATTATTCTAAGGTTTTAAATTATTATTTTTTTCTTAAGTTCCATCAATGTGACCGCCATTATGCGGCATCAAAAGCTAAGGAGAGGCGGAGAGTGACCATTCTCGTTACATTATTATTCTCTGTTTTGGTAAAAGGTTAGTTATCTATCGTTTTTAAATGGCTCCATTAGAATTACTTTAAAATCCAATTAGATCAGTAGTTTTGTCCTACGATGCAGTAAAACCATTTCTGGAAATCCGAATAATTAATATTTGGCGGTTTTAACAACTATATCGCTACTACTTTACGTGGAACACCTATTTCTGACCATTGGTGATATGACTTGCGTAGCGGAATGTATGGTATGGTGTTCAAT